TTGAATTGGGAGGTAATCTGAAGCAATGTTCTCTTCACATATCTTCAAGATAGCAACTGCTACTGTTACCTGAGAAAATCCTAGAGCAGTTCTCATGTTGAAGAGAGTACCTTGTCTTTCTGAACTCAATAATCATTCCATGATAAAACAATGTTAAATCCTGTTTGTATCTCTGTCACAGCTTCACTGTTGTTTTACCTATCTCATATGTATATCATCTGGCTGAATCCATTACTTAGAACTATTTTTTTGTTCTTCAATTTTAGACATGTGGTGAAATAGCAGCCTATTACTTTACCTATAGATGATCAGCTCATAAAACACATGAAAGTGGATATATGCATTCCTTTTTTGCTTGGGAAATGACAACAAAAGAAATAAACAATATTAGATTTTAGTTATGAGAGTTACAGGAATATTTTTATATTTACAAGATTATAATAATATGTAAACCACCAATACATAAAATATTTATTAGTTACTATATTATATAGAAATAACTAAGAAAAATAATCTTTTTACTTATAAATTTATAAAAATAAGATCTGAGAACAAAAAAAATGTAAATCAACACATAACTACAAGTAACTGTAATTATGAATTTTTAAAAAATGCATTTTTTGGGTAATTCCTTTATTTGCTCTTGCCATATAAATTCACTCAAACAGATTGTGAACATCTAAATTTTTACTTTTTTCTCAAGAATTAACAACAAAAATATTTAACACTACTTACCTATTAGACTATTTATATAATATATATGTTTGAAAGAATAGTGTTTAACATTTTTGTCGGTTCTCTAGAAAAAAAGTATACATAAATGTAATTTTGACACACCATTTTTTTGCATGTTCATATGTTAAACATTACCTAAATTTCTTTAATTATTTTTACTAAGTGATTCTTATTGAATTATGGGAAAATTTCACAAAACAACTTTAAAGAAAATTTCAATATTCCAGAACCATTACAGTGAACATGTTTTTTTTGTGTGTTCAATTTCTTTCTTTTAATGATTTAAATGATTTTTTTTTCCAGTTAATGGTTGAAGACATTTTGCATCATGGAGCAATATTAAATGATATAGAATTGAAAGGAGAGAACGTTATAGTGAGTAATCGTGGAGCTCCTAAGTTTGCTGAAAATACAAGGGACCAGGTGAAACAACTTAAAGATGGCTACACAAACCTTTTGACATCAGCTAAGCAGAATCAGGTAAGAAATCTGAACAGAGTATATTTTACGGCTTGCAATGTACAATACTACAATCTACATTCGTATAAAAACATAACAGATGAAAATAAATTTGAACAGGTTTTAATCCTTTAAGACTAAAAGCACCTAAAGGGGCTCTGATGCTTTACATCTGAGAATGTTTGAATGTAACTGCACTCTATTTCAATACACATCATTAACATTCATTTGTCATCAACTAGAAGTGCCAGAAATCTAAAACTTGTTGGAAATTAGATTTCCAAAACCATATCTCATAACCAGGAATGGTAAGGAGGCTAAATTTTGTACAATTTGAAAGAGAAATCAATTTCAGTATCTGTCTATATTTCTGAGATGAGGTATTATGTACATTATTTACATTATTTGGACTATTGTCCTCATCTTTGTCGCCATATTTATTACGTTTCAGCCATTATACACTCTGGCCTTCTTCAGGTGGTTGGAATGTCAAACTGAACCCTTTATTTCGCTCAATGTGCCACGTGTCCTCAAGGACACATGGCACAGTTGATAAAGGCGTTAGTTAGATCCAGTGAGAGGACCCAAAGAGTGTGAGTTCAATACCTGGTTAAAGCAGTGGAGAACTTTCAGAGGAAAATTGACAGGAGATAACTGATAACTGACATTCATTAAACATGGCATGTGGAACTAGAACAGTCTACCCCAGTGAGCGAAATAAAGGGCTCAGTTCGACATTCCAACCTCCTGAAGAAGGCTGGAGTGTACAACAGCCGAAATGTTGTAATAAATATGGCTACAAGGATGAGGATAATAGTTTGAATAATGTAAATAATGTAGAAATCAGTTTGCTTTCATATGTGGATGTGTGGGTGGTGTAATAGATAGCAATTTGGAATGAGAAATTGGGAACTGAGTTTGAATTCCAGTCGGGCATATTACATTCAATTACACACAAATGTTGTTGGGAAAGGTATGAATTCATCCCTTCTCCCCCAGCTATTGGTTAAATAGAAGAATTATATGTGGAAAATAATTATTTCTCAAAAATTGATAAAAACTCAAAAACAAAGGAATTATTCTTTCAAATATGTTTCAACTTTAAATGACTTACAAAAGGTTGATAAGCTGTAAAAAAAAAAAAAAAAATCCGTCAATAGCACTTTTATATAAAATAAACTTTGACTTTCTGCAGTTTGTGAGATATATCAATATAATAACACTAATATCATATTTATATTTTTCAATAATTTGTTCAGAACTCCGGGGATTTAACAATTGAAATATCTTCATGGTTAATAATGTTAATCTGTTGTCATAAACTGGTAAAGTATCAGAAGCAAGTTTTATTTCTCAGCAATAATCCTTTCTGATGTGAAATAATTAATCAGATAATTTCTAAGGGAGATAATCAAACTTTATTTAAGTATAAGAGGAAAAATAAAATGGTTCAAGAAATTTTTGTTTAGCGATGAAGTAATAGGTAAGGTATTAATAGCTATCCTAATGGTAACCAAAATCTGAAAAAGCATGAAATTCTCTCTAAAACCATGATTTGGATTTTACAATTCCAATATCTTTTTCACTTTGCTATTTGGCAACAAAATATGGCACCTAAAATCCAGCCAAGAGATGAAAGTAGATGTGTTTGACATGAAAATTTCTATCTACCTGATGCTTCATACAATATGAGGCTGCTGGTGAGGTTTCTGTAATTGAGTTTTACAAAGTGGAGTGGGGGGAGGGGGGGCATAACCAACCTCTGTACTCTGAGGAATAGTTGGTTCTCTGACATGGTTTTCCTTTCCTTAGGCTACCATGAGTTCCATTTTCTTTCTCCTAGACTGGTTGCCAACCAAGGCTGATCTCCCTAATATTTAACCCATATATACAGGGAGAAGAGATATGCTTTTTCCAAGGGTATTTGCATGAAAGTGAATGTAATGAAGTAAACTGGAATGCAAATTCAGCTTGCCAATTTCTTGTTCTAAGCCACTAAGCATTACACAACTTTACATCCTTTGACATGAAAGGCCAAAAGAAAATATTTGAAGTCAAGTGGAAGGATTTTGTAACCAACAAGAGTTAAGTCAAAAAGCCAGTCTGGCCCATTTCAAAGAAAATCTGCAAATGATAGATAAAATCGTTTTCCTGGGTAACAGAGTTCCAACTTCCTAGGCTTACATTTCAAGTTCTGTGGTAGAATCTTAACTGATAACAGAAGTGAGGTCATCCAATAAATAATGAACCATCTAAAAACAAAAAACACTTCAGACTTGTAAACACAGGCTGGAGCAACATCAGGTTACTGATCACTCACAATGAAGAGTGTGAACTGTTTTAAGCATTAGACAATGCAAGAATGTTGTTTGATTGATTGATTGATACTATGAATTGATTGAATTATTCTTGCCCTGTGATAAGTTTCAGCTTTTTAACCTTCCTTTTCTTTTTTTCTATTTTTACTTTAGGAAAGTCTTGCTGTAAGTCTTGACCGCTGGCACAACTACAAAAAGGAACTTGAAGAAGGCCAGGAATTCTTGAAGCAGTATCTTCCAGCCTGGAAATCTGAAATGGGTACTGCTCATGCTGATAATTTACCAGAAGCCCAAGTACAATTGACTAAAGCCAAGGTATCCATTGCATTCTTATTAATACCAAAAGATAAACGAAACTAATCATAAAATTGCAAAAATTATGCACAAATTTATTTTTTAAAAGAGCTGTACATGAATATCTTTCTTTTCAATGCACTTAAATTATACAATTTGGATATTCATTTATTTAAAAGAAAATGACAAAGTATTTTTCAAAATTTCTTATGTATGAATATCATTGTTATAAGTTTTTTTCTTTTTAGCTTTCTCATATAGATCTAAATTACAGAGAACCAATATTATTTACAAATTTAAATACACATGGAGACCTACGAAACTCTATCCACAATATACTCATTGATAATACAAATATAATAGCCTCATCCACATGTCAAAAAAAGAAAAGTTGTTAAAAAAAAATAATAGAAGTGTATCTAATGTTTTGCAAAAAAAAACAACATTGTATATCAATTTAAATGTCCTTTGGAAGATTGTATTTCTCACAAAAAAGTAAATAAACAAGGATTCCAAATTAAATTTCCACTAAATACTCAAACTTTTTCCATGTAAATTAATGCTAACTGGTTTTTCACTTTATGCCATTTTGGATAGTTGTGAGCAAATTGGACTTTAGTAAAGTAAGGAATACCTCTGTTTGCATGCATACATGCCTCTCTATCTCTTATATATATATATATATATATATATATATATATATATATATATATAAAATCTCAAAACAAATTTTGTTAAAGTCAATCAACAAGTTCAGTCTATTTAAGTTTTTCAATTTTTGATTGTATATTGGGATTGAAATTGTGAATGTTTTTTTTTCTGTATTATTCAAGTCCTTTTGGTTAATTCAATCATTATCCAAAACTGGGTGTTGTCAGTATGGTAGACAATATATTTTTAAAATGCTGACAATTTTATATCACTGAAATCAATTCAAATTCACAGTTCAGATGTAATAACTAAGCAGAAAAGCAAGTATCAAATATTTATACATTTTTAAAGATTTCTTTTTTGGGAGATGAATTCTTGCTACCCAAATACACCATCTATCTATACATGTATGTATGTATGTATGTATGTATGAGTGTGTGTGTATATGTGTGTATCTCTGTTAGTAGGAAATCCGAAGCTTTTTATTGATAATGCATTTTTGCTTTCATTAGATAGAATTAGGGGAAATGTGCTGTCATTAAAAAAAGCTTTTCCACTTTTGTTTGGATTCTCTACTAGCAGACAGAGGAGGCACAGTGGAGTAATGGATAGCGGATCGGATTGAGGAATCGGAGAGCCGAGTTCACATTCCAGTCGAATCCATTACATTCACTTATGTGCTAATACCCTTGGGAAAGGTATGAATCAACTTCTCCCCACTCCAGCTCTGGGTAATTAGTAGGGCAGACCAGGTTCTATAGCCTTGGATGGCAACTGGTCTACCACAGAAAGAAAAAATATCTACCTTGTCAGTCATGTATCAAAAGATACATGATCGCCTAAGTGTATATCATACATGGCACATAACTGACTGACTAACAGGCAGCCTGATGACATGGAAAATGCAAAGATAAGCCTAAAAATAGAAAAATCTGCAGAAAATAATAATTCTACCTCATTGATAATTAAAAGCTTTTTATACTTTGTCTAATTTCTCCATATACCAGATGTAACAGCAGAATTGTCCAAATCATGTAACAGCATAACTGTCCATCCTACAAAATGTTTAATATCTAAAAACCACTAGACTAATTGAGTTTCTTTTTTCCAGGTTTTCAGATAAGATGTTTAGCCATCTTGACACCATTTTTCGTAAGAATCACTGAAAAACCCTTTGAGTTATTCAGCTAGAAATAGGACAGATTAAAATCATTTTATGTTACCCGCCCAATGTCTTTCTAAATAAGCAATGGTAAGAGGAAAAAGATCGTTCAGGCCTTCAGTAATGGTACCAATATTCATACTCTGGCTTCCATCTTCAAAGTCCATTCAACAAACTTCAAGAGAATGGTGAATAAGTTTAAAAAAGAGGGAACTGTAGAGAGGAAAACTGGATCAGGAGGTGACAACAGGAAGAGAGGTCATCATTTCAACTTAGAGCTAAAGAGATCAATTAGAAAAGATCCAACTCAATCTATAAGATGCTTGGCACATGAGAGTGGAGTTTCAGCTATGATAGTCCAAAAAGCAATGAAAAAAGACTTGAAAATGAAATTGTACATGAAACCCATGAAGCGCCTTGTTACTCCAGGACAGAAAGTTAGAAGGTTAGAGAGGGTGAAGATTATCTTGAATAAGTTGGAAAATGATCATGGAATATATATATATAAACTTAATTTCAATCTTTCATGAGCTTCCAATCCTTAGCTATGATTAATTAATGATGAACATGTCATTTTTGTTTATGATCGATTTCATCACAATTCTTCTGTTAAGATTGGAGAGTAATTATACATTCTTGTTGCTCAAAGTAGTCCAATAGTGTTAGAAAAACCTTGGAAAATCCAGTAAGATATCTTTAATAATTTGTAAGATACAACAGCCAATTTTAATCTATCAAATAGACAATTTTGCTGTTACACTAGGTGTGTGTGTGTGTGTGTGTGTATATATATATATATATATATATATATATACTAAAATGAAGATTGGGAAAAAGGCACCTAATATTTAATATAGTGTTAATTATTTATAATATATGAATTTTTACAGACAAGAATTTGTTTTCCTTTTTTTTTCTTTTTTTTTTTAAAAGATTTTTACTTTAACCAGTTTCACTTTGCTTTTCAAAAAGTTTTTAACTGTTTCTCTCTCTCTCTCTCTCCATGTGTTGATGCTTATATTTTGTACCAATAAAAAAAAAATGAAAATCAAGGTACATAACTGGCTATATATGTCATTTATGGTAAGGGGAATTTGGTAGAATCTATTTATGCAAATAATTAAGTATGGATTTGAACTTGTTGATGAAAAATGTTTCCTTATGAATATGCCAAAGACAAATTATTTTTCTAAGACAAAAACACTGAAAATTCAATTGTAATACCAAAGTTTTAATTCTCTATAAAAATTCATATATTATAAATAAATATCACTATATTAAATATTAGGTGCCTTTTTTCCAATCTGTATTTTAGTCTATACAATAAGTTTTTGTACAGAATCTTTCTAACAAAAATTTTATATATATATATATATATATATATATATACACACACACACACACACAGTGGGAGTGAAAGGTTTTTGGTGTAAGCTACTTTCTGAAATATTACCAAACATTAATTTTTTTTTCTTTTGTTTCCTTATTATGGCCATTGTTGATTAGGCTGAGAATTTTTCAGTGTTACCTTATATTTATTTATTTTTATTTTTCAGGAAATGTGGGAAAAACTGAGCTGTTTGAGGCAAAATTTGAACTTATCTCTTGCTCAGTGCAGACCGGCTGGGGCTGCTGCCACTGACCAAACTGACTCTGTGATGTCATCTGCCCTATTCAAGTTTTCTAGCGACGTCAACCATAACTTAATTGGAGAAATGAACCAAGTAATTTTTCTCTATATTCCATTATTAAGCAAACTTGCATAAATATAACACATAAGACAAAATATATTGTCAGGCGTTAATGACATGCATATTATATATAGCCATTATGTGTATGTGACATTATTATAAATGCATGTTTCATACATGTATTAAACATCTATGAGAATGGATCAATAAGTATGGAGCATGAAACAATTATTAACTAAATTTTTATCTGAATTTTTTGCTAATAGGTTGGGCTCTCTCAGGCTATTTTGCCCAAAAAACACCACTTCTGCTGCTGCTGCTGCTGCAGTACATGTGGTGCCCCCTATGACCCAGATGGGTTATGGGATTTATGATCATGCAAAATATATGATCTAAGGGAAAGTTTTGATTAAAGTGCATTGACAAGGAAAGAGATTATGTTGAAAAATATTACATAAAATCACTTTTTTTATCATTTAGATATAGGTTATTTATATATAACAAACTCACATCAATCCAACCAAATATGTTAGCTCTATCTCTGATATTGAGCACTTTCTAATAAGTACCGCGCATATAATATATATATATATATATATACACACACACACACACACAGTGGAACAAAAGTTACTTTACCATAATATAAAGCTAAAGCAATTAAAATAAAACAATAAATGAGTTAATAAAAATGCATGAATTTAAAAAATTATAACTAAAATGAATATGAAAGCTTAAAAACAACCGTTTTTAGCTGAAAATGACCGTTTATAAAACAGTATTATGGAAAAGTAATTTTTGGCACCCTTGCATGTGCGTACACACACACACACACATATATATATATATATATACACACACACACTCTTTGTAATTATCTTGAAGTTGTAGATGTAAAAAAAAATAAAAGAAAATGTGATTCTCAAATGTGAACTGACTTTGAAATTACATATTTCTTTTAAATCCAGTCTCTGTCAAGTAGTTTTACTCATACAAAGTGATATGCTGAAAGTAATGCCTCTTATTTATTTCCATGCCAACAACAGACAAAAGGACTACACAGATAGAGCAAGTTTTCAGCTATCAAACAATATTTCCTTTCATATAGTCACCACCGTTATCTATTCATCTTTTGCCAACAGTCAACAAGAACCTGCTTGTTGTGCAGACCAATATTTTTACAGTAGCAACAACAGCCACTGTTATCATGAAAATGTTGTCTTTATAGTTTGTTTTTCATTGGTTCAAAGTTGAAAGGCAACAAATGTGCAACATTATTCTTGGTCTTCAAACTAGTGTAGGGCCTTGCCATTGTAGTATTGCAAAAGAAAATAAAAAAAGATGGGTTATTTCAAGGCTTGATTAGAAACTATCCAGCCATTTAATACTAACAAAAAAAAACAAACACCCTAAGCAATGATGTCTTATTCCTGCTTAATGTACCCCCTCTTTATGATCTCGCTCACATATTCAACAATCCCTTCCAATTTTCTAAACAGCTTGTGAAGTCTTCATTTGGGATTACCATCATCTGTTTCATCACAGTCTCCTTGATCTTTTTCTTGGCATTTCATCAATGATTTTTAATTTGTCTTTCAAGGAGCTTACACACTTTGGTAATACAAGATTTTGTGAAAAAAAATTCTAATATCATTTGAATAACCTTACTCGAGGTAGTGTCTGTAAATACATAGTGAGGTCTCCTCTGATTGTTTGTCCAGTTATATTATGGCAGTGCAATTTGAAATGGCTGGATATGTCAGTCCTCAAATATTTTACACATAAAAACACATATATACACACACACACTTTTTAACAAGTCTGTGGATTTTTTTTTTTTTTTTTTATCCATCATTTCCTTATGGGAAAACAAACACATGCACACACACATTGCTCTCTCTCTCTCTCTCTCTCCACAATCACCAAAGCGGAGGACAACCCAACAAGCACTCACTGCACTCTTTGACCACTTACCAACCTCAGTATAAAACCATGAAAAATAGTGCTTTGAGATCAGTTTTCTCTACCCTTTTGTCAAAAAGTGGGAAAGGCTGGTTCACTACACTCTAACCACCAAAGAACTAATCAGGAGGGCTGCTTGCAACTAAGGAGGAGGGCTTTCTCTCTCTGTCTCCTAGAAAAAAGGAGGGGGTCTCTCTCTCTCTCTGCTAGAAAAAAGGAGGGGGGGTCTCTCTCTCTCTGCTAGAAAAAAGGAGGGGGCTCTCTCTCTCTCTCTCTCTGCTAGAAAAAAGGAGGGGGTCTCTCTCTCTCTCTCTGCTAGAAAAAAGGAGGGGGTCTCTCTCTCTGCTAGAAAAAAAAGAGGGGGTCTCTCTCTCTACTTGCTACAAAAAAAGGAGGGTTTTTTCTCAACCTCTTTATAAATAAGGAGAGGTCTCTCTCTCACTCTGCTTGCTACAAATTAGGTGTGGACTCGCTCTCTGCCTGATACAAATAAGGTGGGCTCTCTCTCTCTGCCTGATACAAACAAGGTGGGCTCTCTCTCTCTCTCTGCCTGATACAAACAAGGTGGGCTCTCTCTCTCTCTCTGCCTGATACAAACAAGGTGGGCTCTCTCTCTCTCTGCCTGATACAAACAAGGTGGGCTCTCTCTCTCTCTCTGCCTGATACAAACAAGGTGGGCTCTCTCTCTCTCTCTGCCTGATACAAACAAGGTGGGCTCTCTCTGCCTGATACAAACAAGGTGGGCTCTCTCTCTGATACAAACAAGGTGGGCTCTCTCTCTGATACAAACAAGGTGGGCTCTCTCTCTGATACAAACAAGGTGGGCTCTCTCTCTGATACAAACAAGGTGGGCTCTCTCTCTGATACAAACAAGGTGGGCTCTCTCTCTGATACAAACAAGGTGGGCTCTCTCTCTGATACAAACAAGGTGGGCTCTCTCTCTCTGATACAAACAAGGTGGGCTCTCTGCCTGATACAAACAAGGTGGGCTCTCTCTCTGATACAAACAAGGTGGGCTCTCTGCCTGATACAAACAAGGTGGGCTCTCTCTCTGATACAAACAAGGTGGGCTCTCTCTCTGATACAAACAAGGTGGGCTCTCTGCCTGATACAAACAAGGTGGGCTCTCTGCCTGATACAAACAAGGTGGGCTCTCTGCCTGATACAAACAAGGTGGGCTCTCTGCCTGATACAAACAAGGTGGGCTCTCTGCCTGATACAAACAAGGTGGGCTCTCTGCCTGATACAATCAAAGGTGGGCTCTCTGCCTGATACAATCAAGGTGGGCTCTCTGCCTGATACAAACAAGGTGGGCTCTCTGCCTGATACAAACAAGGTGGGCTCTCTGCCTGATACAAACAAGGTGGGCTCTCTGCCTGATACAAACAAGGTGGGCTCTCTGCCTGATACAAACAAGGTGGGCTCTCTGCCTGATACAAACAAGGTGGGCTCTCTTCCTGATACAAACAAGGTGGGCTCTCTGCCTGATACAAACAAGGTGGGCTCTCTGCCTGATACAAACAAGGTGGGCTCTCTGCCTGATACAAACAAGGTGGGCTCTCTCTCTGCCTGATACAAAAAAGGTGGGCTCTCTCTCTCTCTGCCTGATACAAAAAAGGGTGGAATTTCTCTCTCTCCTCTCTCTCCTTGCTACAAATAAGATGGAGGGTCTCTCTCACTCTACTTACTACAAATAAGGCATGATCTCTCTCGCTACAAAAAGGGTGTTTCTCTCACTACTTCTACAAATAGGAGGGTGACTTTCTCTTTCTCTCTGTCTGATACAAAAAAGGAGGGGTTATTTTCTTTCTGCTTGCTACAAATAAAGCAGGATTGCACTGTCTCTCTGCTTTCTACAAATAAGGAAGTGTCTCTCTAACTCTCTCTCTGCTTACAACAAAGTGGGTCCTTCTCTCTCTCTCAGCTTGAAACAAATAAGGTAGGATCTCTCTATCTCTGTTCTAATGTACTGTGAGCTATGAACACTGCCTCACAAGAAGGATGCAAGTCTGTATTTATTTACATTATTTGGACTGTTATTCTCATCTTCATTGCTATGTTTATGTTTCGGCCGTTGTATGCTCCGACCTTCTTCAACGGACGAAACGTCATGAATATGGCAATGAAGATAAGGATAACAGTCCAAATAATATAAATAATCATAATACCTCATCTCAGAGATATAGACAAGTCTGTATTTATATTGAAAGAAAAATAAACATTCCAAAACTGCATTCACCAAGAATTCATTCATTTTGAATATAAAACCCATCCTCCACAGAAGTAAAGATCAGTAAATATAATAAGTGCTGAGTTAATTTTTTTCAAAGCACAGAATAATGATGAAAGGATACTGTTTATTTATAGATTTTATTTCTATCTTTTTTAAAATGTTTTTGTCATTTTAGATTGAGAATCATCTTGATTCACTGCGAGATGAAATCAAGTCTTGGGAGACAATTGATGCTCTGAAAACTGAGTTGAGAACAACATTACGCAACAAGAAGGAAGAAGTTAAAATGCTTGAACAGAATCCTTCAAGACTTCCAGAAGCAGCAGCAGAAATGGAAATTGTGAAATTACAGGTAAGAGCAAAGAAAAACCTGTCAAAAAAGATGAAAATGGTTAAAATGATTCTTTCAGTATTAAAATAGGAGATTCAGTAAATGGTTTTATTCCCTCCACAAAAAAAACAGATTTTTACTCAATTGATTATAAATGAACATTACCCATAATGCAACACAGCTAAGAGACAACCAGGCTTTACATTGGAAATAAAGCCAACTGAAAGAGGACATTGAAAGAACTAGATGTCAGTCCCCAACCTCACAACAAAAAACATGAAAACAGTACAAAGGTTTCATAAAGCAATATTTGTGAGACAATGAGTATGTCCATTTTCCTTTTGTTTCTGAAATGATTTATGGGAAATAAGAATATGAATGGGTAAACATGGTCGAACTCAAGTCAGCTTTGCATTGAGTTGGGAAGATTGAACCTCTAATTCATGAGTAGGGCTGCTACAACATGTCTGATAATGTTGCTGGTAAGTGGAAAAATTTCAGTTGTCAGTGGACGAGAGAAACTAACATTCTACCATGTAGTTCACATCTTGAAGCCAAAAGGGAAAAGAGTAAGATTCTGTTCTTTTCAGAAGTGGAATCATAAAATCATACATGTGACTAGAAACCCTTTCTAGTTTCTTTATAACTTGCAATCATGGGAAAAATTTATTTATTTTTTTTATCCATTATTATTATTTTTTTTCATTTTCCCCACAAGTGAAGAAGGTTAAACTCTTAAAAAAAAAATATAAATCATAATTAGTGACACTTGAATGGTAGTGAAGAATTGTAATGAATTGACTTGTAACTGGTAACCTGTGACTCAGTACAACTTGCCACATGGATAGGTTGTTGGCATCTCAGCTAGCTCCCCCTACTAGTTTTTCTGAGGGTGGCATGTCACCCAGCAAGACGAAAAACGACCTGTCAAAGGGTAGATTTCTTATAGGAGCCAATGACCAACATATATATGGCTAGGATGGAGTCTCAACCTTTGAATGGCAACCTTCCTAGTGATAGTGTCTCAATAAAAACACTCTGTGTACTTGGGCTAACGTGAGTGTCTGAGATGGGTGTGTCAGGAAGAGCATCCAGCCTTGTAAAGCCTTGCCTCAAATCATTATGACAGGAGATCCTCTGTGAGGCAGGACACACCCTGCTTTGTGTGAGATTAATCAACATAAAATACACTTATGTATGTTAACTTTGATTTAGCAAAATAACTAATTTTAATCAAAACAATTATAAAAGATTTTTACAATACAAGGAGAGAAAAATTAACTGAATTTGTAAATGTTTTTTTACATGAAAGATTATTCTGCTTTAAAATATTTAACCTCGAAATTCTAGCATTTGACATTTATATGAAAACATTTTGAAAGATGTTCACAATCTGTGTTGGTTGGTTCTTAATTAACCAATATTTACAATGCTCATCTACATTGTTACAGCTTCCTCACTTTTTGCTGAAACCGAACAATAAACAGAAAACTCTGATTTCTTAGCCTCTGTCTGTGACAGTGCTATTGAACTGAGCTGTATCCTTTGTTGAAAATTATTACTGTCAAAATAAATCAGAAAATTTTACTTCCCATTTTTTTTTTCTGAAACATTAGCTTCTAAAGCTATTACGTAAATCTTGTATATGGAAATAGTGTCTAGGTCTCCTTCAAGAAAGTAAGTACAAGCAAAAAGGCCAAAAAAATTGTATTTAAAATGTAGGGTATTGTGTCTAATATATTTGAACTTTCAGATATAAGTAAAAATATATCTGTAAAACAACAAAAGGAAAACTTAGCTGACACATTTCATCCTCTGAACTCTATCAAGGCAAATGTAAGGATTTTATTTTGGAATAAGTATTTATAGACAAAATTAAAAATGCTGTTTTTTCAAAATTTTTAAATTTAAGAACACTCATAAATATACATCAAGCTAACTGAAAAGTTGAGATCAATTATGGAAGATGCGAAGTGATGTAATTCAATGTCTAATGTCAAATTTTAAACCATGGTTTTATTTAAATTTACCACAGAAAAAAAAAGGTATTTCTTCTTTTTCATTGATTCTTCATCTTTCATACTATTCCTAAAAGATCTGTATTAAAGTCACTGTTTGTCCATCATGGAAAATATTATTTAATGTGCTTTAAAATAAATGAATAAAAAATATGGTGATGTCTTCGTGTTACTTTTGTCTTGGATCACAATTTTAAAAAAACATAATTAATCTGTACAATTTCCAAAAATTCTTCGAAAATCCCCAACCTATTACCTTTCTGGGTTTTTCTTGAGGACACACATTTCGTCTTCAAGTCATATGGACAGCAGAGAGTAATTCTTAACCTGACCCCTAGGGAAAGGTGAAATCATGCCTTTCTTAAGAACAGAACATAAGTGGGGAGTGAGCACAAAATACTTCAGTCAGAATTTGACCTCTGTTTGCTGATTCCATTTTAAATGATGCTTACCATTGAGCCAGTTCCATACATGTGACCAGAAACCCTTTCTTGTTTGTTTATAACTTGCATCATGGAAAAATATAATTTATTTATATTTTTTTTTATTCATTATTATTATTCTTTTCATTTCCCCCACAAGTGAAGTAGGTTGAACTCTTAAAATAATCAACAATGAAAATAAAGTTGAATTAGTGCTTAGTTGTATTTATAACAAAGCAGCTTATTTCATCATCAATAGTGTTTTGACTTGAAGGCAAACTGAAAATCAGTGTGATTTCTCATCTTCAATATGGTTGTGTGTTTCAAAGCATGCCCATTTGCTTGAGCCTATATGTGTTCCTTCAACGCACACAGTGTAACAGGAGAGAGAGCGATGATAGAAAGTTTAATTCTCCCATTTATATTTCTTCCCATTATGGGCATTATTATATCTGATATAATAACACCATACTTCACGGACAAAATGGAATGGCTGAAAGAAAAAAAGGAATAACAAACATGCTTTGTTCTCAGAAGAAAACTTATACTACTGAAATGCACACACACATGGAGAATAATATATCTACACAGCAAAGCAAAGTGTAAGGAGAAACAAAAGGAAGTGTCTTAGATATAATATGGAGATACTCCTGTGTCTGGAGAAGCCATTTTTAGGATTCCAGATTCCAACAGACTGGATTAATCTATTTCCTAGGGAAGGCCATATTCCATGAATAGGAAGCAGTGAGTCTTGGGTTTACCCAAATTGAGGACTACAAGTTGGAGTTTCATTCTATATATGGGAAAGATATCTTCCTAAAGGGAAATGCCACCATGGACTTGTAAGCTGCTAGGGAGGCAGATTTAGACTCTACCTGGCCCATGAGGGACTTGGGCTAAAGAAAGCAACCTTAATACCAAAAGAAAATTTATTGTAAAATTTTTATTGAATTTTATTTTTTATTTTATTTTTAAGAGTCTCAAAAATGATGTTGATGAAAAGAAAGGTTCTCTAAAAGATCTGAATGACCGTTACCACAAACTCACCCAACATAACCCACAATTATCTGACCCCATCATAAATGCTGTCCAAGAAGACTGGGAGGAGCTTCTGTGTTATATTAGCAATGTGTTGGATGAGAAGGAGCAGGAAAGGAAAACACGAAAGAGATTCCAAGATCAACAATATGAAATTGATGAAGATCTTGCCAGATATGCTCAGGAATTAGAGCAGATTGAATTGAAAGGGTCATCAGAAGTACAGATGGACAGAATCACGGTAGGTGGGCTTTAGTTAGCATTTTGGTGATGGAAGTTTTTTCTTTGTTTTACATATCTATATCTATCTTCTTTTTTTTTTTTATTTATATCTCATTTTAAGCATGCATTTTTTAAAAAATTTGCGAAATATTAATTTTTTTTTAAGTTATTGAAAATATGGGGAAACAATTAAAAGTTTAACATTAAAGTATTTAAAAAATTTTAGTTTAAAAATATTATTACAGAAGTTAGACACTTGTCGTCTGCCTTCAAATATGATATAAACCACAAACTTTAAATTTTTTCATCACTCTTTGTATAATATACATTGGTATTTTGTTCTCCAGTGTAAAATTTATTCTAATGTTACAGTGGAAAAAAAAAGATTAAAAAAGTCAGTTTTTAAAAACCTCCAAATTGCAAAGTAACAATGAAATGTAAATTCTGATATTAAAGTTTTTTATAAGCAGTTGTTACTAAATAGAACATGCAAACTGAATTTTAAAAGAATGCATCAAAACAAACAAATCAAGCATAATCTGATGATAGCAATAATATAATAGTAGTTATATGAATTGATATTGTAAATATATATGTATAGAATCATGTAGTGTAATAGAAAAATGCCATTATTGTATAGCTAAATATCTGAACAATTAAAAATTTTGAGAAAGCTTAATTTTAATCAGAAAATGTTTAAAATAAATTTGTCTCCAGTTGTGAATCAGTCAGACTTGTTTGGAATTATAATCATTCAATATTCAATTAAAAAAAAAAAAACAACAAAAAACAAAGTAATTTTTGTCAATGTGTTATTGTTTTGTTATTGTTGCTTGTTGTACTCATTTAACCTGTTGAACCCTGACACCTGGATGTTTTTGGTAAATTTCACTGCTTCATTTATGTCTATATATCAGAACAAATCAGTAGTAAATGGTTATTCCAAAGTTGCTCATATTCAGTACATTATTCTACTTATATCTAAGGCTTTTCATAATTAGATGCTAGAACACTGAACTATTCAAGAAGTTAAAAAAAATGTGATGCTTCTGACAAATTTATAGTCAGAAATATTCAACATTCTTGAAAACAATTTTTTTTTCTAATTGTGCCAGAGATTGACTTGATAATTTTTTGTTCTATATACTAGATTTTTTTTTTTTTTTTACATATTTTTCCCCTTTTATGAAATACTGAAATGAGTATTGATTGTGACTGACATTAAATAGTAACAATTGAAGGAAGACTAAAGTATTGCCTATTGTATGATGGCATTCATTTGTTGGGTATATACTTTTGCCATCATCTGTAATATTGGGTGTTTTCATTTTTGTTCATCCATACTTCAGCTGTTTTATGAGATGTCCATAAATGTCAGTGGGCTTTCATTACATATTTGATAATGAAAGCTAAAAGAACATAGCCTGACATTTTGTGCATTAAAAAGCAATAGACACTGGCTTATATAGTTATTATACGAAATAAAAATCAGTCATCACCAACAAAATGTATTGCTACAATTTCACTGCTAAATTATGGCATTGTTGCCTGACTGTGCTGGTCTGTTTTGTGAAAAATAAAAAAAAATCCATTTACTGGAAATTAAAGAACCATAAAGACTTTGACAGCATTATCTCATGGGTCACGCCATTTTGGTTTTGAATGGATACTCTGCAGTGCAGAGTAAGCTAAACAACATGTTATATTGAATTTCTGTATGTCTGCACTGATTGTGAAATAGTGCTAAGTGGCAGTTAGTTTATAACACAAATGCCAAGAGTCCATCATTTTGTGGTGTCTTAAAAACATATATATATATATATATATACAGTGAGAGAGAATGGAAGGGTTATTGTAGAGGACAGTTTTGTAATTGTATTCATAAAAAGTAGATCACAAAGTGTAAATGAAAAGAAATTCTAATGTTTCTATTTTGTAATAAATGAAAAAGGATATAAAACTATCCAATCAGAAAATAGCCAAAGTGATTATTCTGAAGCTGACTAAGAATTTAATTTTTTTGCCAGTGAGTAAATTGTCTTCATGAGTCAATGTAGAATGTATCACTCAGCACATTTTGCTTTGTGCACACTTTTATGTTTGTTGCTGTTCTAAAAGCAAGAATGATTTCCACTACTATACTTTCTACAATGAATTTTAAGTTTAAGATATATTTAAATCTGATGTCTATTTTATACAAGGTTAGTTTTTCCTCCTGCTACTATGACTTTATCTATACATATAATTTTTTTTCAATGCTCGATTTCTTCAGAATGTAGGTGATCATGACTCTATACAGGTTTTTCAATATTATCTGTGAATTGCTATGCAATCTTTCTCTTAGACTAGCAGCCACCCAAGGCTAGAGATCTAGTTTGTTCCTATTTAATACCATTTCCTTTCAAGATATAGGTGATCTTGTATCTCCACAATTATTTTTCTTTATTATCTGTGAACTACCATAAATTTGGGAGGAAAGATAGTGGAATGGTTTCCCATCACCTTCTCCATAGTTTGGAATTTGTTTTTTTTCTACTCTTACACCCAAGATTAGAAAGCTTGAGGGGAGAAGTGATAGTTTCACGCTTTTCCAAAGGGCATTAGTGTGAAAGTGAATACAGTAGATTTCACTGGAATTTAAGCTTAGCTTGCTGATTCCCCTTACTATGCTGATATGTCCCATGACCCACAGAATTGATTGTAACGAGCTTATCTATTTCATTAATGTCTACAGGGACATTAAAAAAGAACTCCTGAGTCAATGCTAACAAATTTTATGTTTGTTAAATTATTGTTTTGTTTGTGTTGTGACAAATGTCTTGAGTTATTTTTTTCCAAGTCAGGACAGTTTACTTTCTATGTTGTCGATAAGCAGATATTATTTTCAGTTGGGAGGCAAAAAAATTATCAACACTGTATATCCCAACAAGGTAATCCTCTCTTCAGAATTAGCAATCTATCATATTGCTAATTTTGAAGAGATAATTATCTTGTTAGGATATACAGTGTTGATTTTTTTTTTTTTTTTGATAGCTTAAAAAATCAACAAAGTAGAAAATAAGACAAAATGGTCACTATATAAATATTAAAATATTGTGTCCAACATTATTGAAGATGGCATCTCAAAAGTAAGTGGTCACTTGTGTTTTTTAGGGTTTTTTTTTTTTTATATATCACTTGACATTTGAATCAGCTTTGACTTAAATATATAAAAGTTCTCAGTGCTAAAAAGATCTTGTATTAATTACAAAGCCCTTCCAAAATAAATTCAGATGATTTATCATTTGGTCAGATTTTGGAAAGTAAGTCAAGCTGACAACATGTGCATCTCCTTAAAGTAAATAAACAGCAATTGGTGTGACTATAGTATGTGATCTACCATTAAGTCTGTTGTATACAGTCTACCATTAAGTTTTGATTGTTATCTGTGGCCTACAGTTTGTTTGTAAATATAATGTTCTATTTGGGGGTCACCAGTTAACAGATAGGTTAATTTGGGTTTGAAGGGCTGATTCACTGAGAAAAACAGGTGTAGAATTGAAAAAAGATAAAGGCTAACGTTTATAAAATAATAATCCATTTTTAAAAACGTCAGTCTTTATCTCCTTTCAATTTCTACACAAAACAATATAAGATTTATGAGCATCTAATAAAGCATGTAAATGCAATAATGCATGTTCTTTTCTTGATGCGAAGGAAGAATATTCACCTTTGTATAAATTATCCATTATTGAAGAAAGCAATAATCAAATCATATTCAACATTCTTTTTATTATTTCAAACTATTGTTCTCAGTTCCGTTGATACAGATGTTATTATAGACACGTTTCAGCATAGTACTGGTCACCATCAGGTGTCTCTTGATTGGCTGATATAGGATATCTGTTGATTACTGTGATATTTTGTCCCTATGATATCAGTTATGATTCATTCCTGTTGTATTCTTCACTACCAGTTCTAAGAATTGAACTAATGACCTCAAGATGAGTTCAATCGTTAGTACAAAGAAAACCCACATATAGTGATTAAAGCATTCTAACAAAATTTAAAGAAGCATTATTTTATTTATATATATATATATATATATATAATTGACAGATATTCAGCTATAGCCATGAAATTTTTTTCATGAGTAATAAAGATATCAACAAAAATATATTGCACCAAATTGTAGAAAAATTATTTTATATGTTCAAAACCAGGTGGAAAAATTGATGCTTTGTCATATGAACCTTGTTTGTTCTTGTTTAAATCAGTCTTGATCATGTTTTTTATGTCTGTTTATTTTTGTATTTTTATTTTGTTATTGTGATTTGTTATTTTTTGTTTTTTATTAAAAGCTGGCTGTTAAAAACAATTACTTCTAAATTTTACATTTTTAATTTTTAAAATCAAAGCCGAGAGTTGACTTTTACAACTGAAATGTAAGTTATGAAGTTGAGTAAATAAAAAAAATACTTGATGTTTTATGATAGTGATGTTGGTGTGTTAGCTTTAAAGGATTATATAGTTATGACACAACCTTCAAATTGTGACAATGAAATTATAATTCCTTTCTGTCATTTTGTCAGATTATTAAATTTTAGCTATAAATGACATTTAAAATTATTGGATTTAGAAGAGCTTTTAAAGTAAATCTTTGAGATAAGCAGTATTTAAAATAATTTCATAAATAATTATTTTTCTTGACATTTGACTTAAAAAAAAAAAAAACATAAATATATAAGATGCTACCCAAAAATTTGGAAAACCTAAGAAAACAATAAAAAAAAATAAAAAAAATTTCTACCTTCTAAAAAAACAAAAAAAATAATTTTTAAAAAATTAATTATTTTTTGGTGGAATGATTTCAAAATTGTGTAAAATATTCAACTATACATGGGGAAACTCTGTATAACTTGATAAATGAACAGATTGAGCAATCTGTTCAAGTTCCCTAAATTTTTTGTATAGCACTTTATCAAAGCATAAAATTATATATTGCATAATATTAGTGGAGTTATTTTGTGCATATTTTTTAACATTTTTGTTTTT